TGAAAGGTTACAGCTTGTGCCGGTTTATTGGACCTGCTGCAAGGCATGGCAAATAGATGTAAATGACTGTTTATACTGTGATCTTAGTTGTTTATTTGTATGCACCATGGATGCTTTGTGCTAGAATATGGAAGAAAATCATTTAAAGTGTTAATGCTGTACAGTGAAATCAATTTCTAAAACGGAGAAAACATCATGCATGACAGGCTATATATACTATTGCCCTCAATGTTAAAGTATAATTAAGACTACTTCCCACAGTATGCTTAGAGAATATTTATCAACCAAGTCTGCATCAACCAAGCTGATGTCAAAGTATAGTCTGAGTAGAGTTTACTTGGGCTATAGTTTTCTACTCAAGATGATTGAGCTGCAACAGTCACATTTATCAAATCACATTAAGTAAATGGCAGTGTTGCTTGGCTCTTAGAGCCAACTGAAACATTTATTTGGCAACATGGCTACTAGGGGTGTACATTTGGCATAAACTGAACCAGAAAACCCCCCGAAAAATGCCAATAAGGTTTGGGTGTATCAGCTATACCACAAGCCAGCCCCAGCTGAGATGGTGGGAGCTGACTGCTCCGTGTTGCCTCGCCTGGGGCTGGCTTCACCCCAGGACCGGCCAGGATGACGGGAGCTGACAGCTCCATGCCACCCCAGCTGATCCTTTCTTGCAGCCCCCAACTGCAAGAGAGGATCAGCTGGGGCGGGATGGAGCTCTCAGCTCCTGCTGCCCTGGCTAATCCTGGGTTGGTGAGTTCACCTGAAAGGTGTTTAAAGGGACCATGAGCCCTTTAAATGTCTCTGCAGTCCTCCAAGCCACGGAGTTGCACGGCTTGGAGAAGGCATTTAAAGGGACCGCGAACTCTTTAAATGTCTTTTCCCCCTCCACTGGTTTCAATGGAGGATGAGGGCACCTTCTTTGGGAACCCACAGAATTGGACCCCCTGGTCCAATCATTTGAGACTTAGGAGGGTTTTTTTAAGAAGAGGCACCAGCAGCTATGCTGCATATTTGGTGCCACTACCTCAAAAAACAGCCCCCCCAGAGCCCCAGATATCCTTAGATCAATTCTCTATTATACTCTATGGGGACCATTGACTATAATAATCTCCATAGGGTATAATAGAGCTCAAAAAATTCGACAAACTCAAATATTTCCCAAATTCTAATACCATAATGGGATTCAGGAATATCAGGAAATAACTGATATTTTTCGGATGCAATATACCTGAACCTGAAAAATACCAAGGTTTTTTTTTTGCACACCCTAATGGCTACTGAAAACTAGTTGCATAGGGCAAATGAATTCAGATGAGCCCCTTACAAACTTGATTCCTAACATAACCATACCTGTGTGCAGCCAACTGATATTGACCAGGTTTATCATATCACTTATGCAGTACATCTGAATCAGCCCTCAGAATTCTGGATGGGACAAAAAGCACCAGAGCTTTTATACAGGAGCTTCCAAGGCCTCTGAAGCCTCCCCTTCCCATCACAGTTCATTGCACACCCTGCAAAGATGCTCTGAACAGATTTAACAAGATGGATTTTTGTTTAAACCTACCTCCTTGTGTGTAGTACCTAGTTCTTCTTCCAACAAGCTACATCTTTCAAGTGCTACTCGTAATCTTTCCCTTACCTGAAAAGATAAAGTGTGATCATCAAGAAATTTTGCCATCATTAGTGAGAAGTACATACCCAGATAACTCAGGATTTTTTTTATATTGATAATGCATAGGGAAAACAACACATTATCTTTGCATTCTTAAAAGCAACAAAGATAGTGATTTTCTGAGTCAGTCACCTGAGATGACAATATAGTCAGAGTTGGACATGGTGAATGGATTTAGATATTTAAATCTGTTTTTTCATCTTGTAATTTCATTTCTTGAGTAAGCATGCATACTAATTGCAGTTACAGTTAAAACATGTTGGCTTGTGAATAAATAGAACCTTTCTACTACCTAGGATGATAATGTAAAACCTTCATGGAATGCAGTTTTTCTGACCCCACAGCAGTCCTCTATGATCACTCTTTGAGCATTTGGAGATCATTTTGCAACGATCAAAAAGCTGTTCCTGAGGATTGGGAGACCTTGTAGAACAGCATGAGATGTGGCACATGAGGTTGAAGAAGGGTGGACGAAGTGATAAGAATAGGGGATTCCCTTAACAGTGAGCAAAAAGTACTTACACTTCCTTTTTGGATCCCAGTTATAATCTACATGCTTCCTGCAATACCAAATCTTCAGCTCAGGGACAAGAAAACCTGTAATTAATGAGTTTCTATTTTGTATACTAACATATTAACACCCTTAATTGATTGCTCGTAACAGATTCGTAAAAACTCTTAAATAACTTGTATACCCAGTACTTCAGCAACTACCTCTCATTACCTTTTCATCAAGGGCTTTATGATGTTCAAACAGGGACTTTAGTGCCTTCAGAACTTCAACTTCACTAGAAACTCCTGCTGGAGACTGAGCCTGTCTTTTTACAACTGTCATTCTAAGAGACCGCTCATGTCGGGACACAAGACATTCCAAATGTTCTAGCAGCAGCTGAAAAACAAGAACAATGTTCTCTAAAAGCTTTTGGGAGTAGCACCGAGAGAAAAGTCTGTCCTATGACCTTGGGTTGACTTCTTCCTGTCCTCTGCTACGAGACAGAGCAAAGAAGCGAAGAGCTGCTCCTTTCAGGGTACAGAGTTTGCCAACAAAAGCAATGGGGATCTGGCCCTCCTGCCTCACCAGCAAAAGTTTAACCTCCTAAAGCATTTAACAGGGTAGAAAGGACTGATTCTATGACAAGCGGAAGGCTGAGGACAACAGTGCCTCTTTCTTGATTTCCAGATGGTTGTGTCTGAAGTTCTCTGTCTGGAGAACACCTAGTCAGTAAGGGAAGAAAAAACAGCCTCATGGTCATGAAAAACAGCCTCATGGCTCCTACTTTGATGGGGCAGAGAGCAGGATCTTTGAGGAGCCCCATGTTGAACTTTGCTGGAAGAACTTCTCACCTGGACTGTTTTCTCTTCTAAGATCAGCTGGGAGGGGGATCAAGGGGAAAGATACCTCAAGGGAACAGTGTTCTGTTTGAGACAGCTCTTGTCCCTATCTGAGGGTGCACAGCTTCTCTCTTCTGGCAATTTCCACAGTGCTTACATTTATTTTTTATTTATATCCTGCTTTTCTCCCTAACAGGAACCCAAAGCTGCTTAATCACACCATTCTCCCCATCTCCACGTTACCTTCACAACAACCAATTTGCGAAATGGGTTAGAGGCTGAGAGACTGTGATGAGGCCAGGGTCACCCAGTGAGCTTCCATGACAAAGCAGGGATTCCAACCCTGTTGACCCAGGTCCTAGTAGTGTTTAGAGACACTTCTTATGCCACGCTTGCTATGCCTGTCTACCTTCTTGCAGCACGACAACCTTGTGTGGATTGGATTATTGAGTAAGGTAAAACCTGAAACTTTACTACTGGTAGAAGGTCACTGCGGAAATCTTATGCCACAGCTGCAGTGTAGTGGTTAAGTGAGCGGACTCTAATCTGGGAGAACCGGGTTTGATTCCCCACTCCTCCACTTGCAGCTGCTGGATGACCTTGGGCAAGCTATAGTTCTGTCAGAGCTGTTCTTGAAAGACGAGTTCTGTAAAGAGCTCTCTCAGCCCCACCTACCTCACAGAGTGTCTGTTGTGGGGAGGGGAAGGGAAAGGAGTCTGTAAGTCGCTCTGAGACACCTTTCAGTAGTGAAGGGTGGGGTATAAATCCGATCTTCTTCTTATGCCCATCCCTTTGATACAGTACCTGGGAAGGGGGGCAGTCATTCTGTGACTGGCACTACCACTGTTGGGATAGAGCTGTTGCTTCTACCTTCCTCTCGTTGCTGTTGCTATTTATTTTCTTTTCCTTTTTCTCTTTTTAAAAATGAAGCTCAAGAGAGCTTCTGCTAATCCTGCCTCACAATACTTAGGTAAAGAGTTGGTAGCAAGTATGAGGTTCCCTATTGCCAGGTAAAATCTCTTTGCTCTGCCTACCAGTCCCTGGAGGTGGGACCTAACCTAATTAAAGATGAACATCTAAGCACAACTGATATGGTATTCTATCCCTTAGTTCAAATTTTATTTATTGTAAAGAAAGAAGCAACAAAATAAATCATTCATGGCCACCCAGTAGAAAACAAACCAACCCTTGTATTATTTCTTTCTGCTTTCAGTTCTGCAATTTCTTCTTCCCTTTCAAGGAGTTGTTCTCTGCATACATTGAGCTCTTTAGTAAGTGCTGCAAACTCCTGGAAGACAATTAATAAGGCATTCGTTATAGAGGCACCAATAATATACACTACACCCAAGTACACACAGTCATCTTGATTAAAGACCAGAAAATATACTATGCAGTGGTAGTCCATACAGCCCTATTAATTAATGGCATAACAGTATACACTTCTTAGAACAGAACTTCATCCTTCACTTCTAACTGCCTTCAAAGACTATAAATATGAATATAGTGAAAAGGGGAAGAGAACCCAGTTGCACCCAGGAGAGCCCTGGTTTAAGGAACCCAACAAAACACACACATACAGCATAAGGAGCCCAACAGAATACACACCCACTGTAGCAAGGCACACAAAAGTTCATGTTCTGAACAAAACTTTGTTGGCCTTAAAGGTGCCTGGTATTTCTCCTGTGCAATTGAGGCAGCCCAGCAAAGCAAGCTCTCTCTTGTTCCCTCCCTCCCTCCCTCCCTCCCTCCAGGGATGAGCTTCAGCCAGTGGAAGGAAAGAAAGACTTTCCTTTGTTTCCTGTATATAATTGAGGCACCCTGGCCAGGAAGTGCACTTTGGCTGGTTCCCTCCTCCCACTGGGGGGAGGAGCCTTAGCCAGTTCTTTACCAAACTCTCTCAATCACTCAGGAGAGGCTTGCCTATGCGACTGAGTCTGGTAAAGCAAACTGCCATGTAGCAGCAGCAACAGAACTAGAAAAGGAAGCAAGAAACAGCCAGTTCCACTGTGGACCTGATAGAAGCCCTCCGAGGGCCTGATTTGGCCCGTGGGCTGCATGTTTGACACCCCGGATTAAAAAGTCTCTGGAAATGGCATCTTGGATGATTCCTCCCTGGTACTGTGGAGGGTAGGAAGATAAAAGACCAACAATGGGGAGTTGGCTCTTCCCTCCCTTTGCCCAATAGCTGGTCATTGCCACCAACCTCCACAGCAGTGGACAAGCCAGGAGGAGGAAATGAAAGAGGCAATAGTTTTTCTTCAGTGAAAGAAGAACTTAGAAATGGTATGCTGATGCTCCCTTTCAAATAGAAGGCACTGAGCCTTATAGTCCAGGTACAGGGAACGTCAGCTTTTTGTAGCATCTCTAGAAAATATCCTCTCCCTCTCCTTTCTCTACCCAGCAATGCATATTTAGCCAAACCTCTACCCTTTTAAGCTTAAAATCCCTAACAATTTAGGCGTCCTTGTAGGTCCTCTGACCATTTTGGCTGCACTCAAAAAAAAAAGTTGGTGCTAGGTCAGGCCCGTAACCCCATAAATTTACATCTTATATTCTATTAGCAAAGTTGGACAATGTTTGTATATCTAAATCCAGTGACTGGAGCAGTGAACAGGTAAGACATATCTTTCTACAAACCTGAAAAAAGTTTGCAGAAAAATGTGAAATCTTAAAAAAAAAAAAAAAATCGGGGAGCTCAGTGGATAATTTTGGACTTTGAGGAGAAGAGGGATCTCAGAGGGGTACAATGCCATGGATTCCACTGTCCAAAGTAGCCATTTCCTTCAGGGGGACCAGGGTTGCTAACCTCCTGGCTGAGGCTGGAGATCACCCAGAATTACAACTGCTCTTCAGATGACAGAGATAAGTTCCCCTGGAGAAAATAGCTGCTTTGCAGGGTGGACTCTGTGGCATTATACCCTGCTGTGGTCACTTCCCTCCCCAAATCTCAGCCTCCCAAGGCTCCACCCCCAACTATCCAACTGGAACAGCTCCTTGCCCCCCCTCCAAATGACAGCCTTTCAAATATGTAAAGAAAGCAATCATGTCCTCCCTCAATCTCCTCTTCTCCGAACTAAACATTCCCAAGGCCCTCAGCCTTTCCCCGTAGGGCTCAGTCTCCAGACCCCTGATCATCCTCGTTGCTCTCTTCTGCACCCTCTCGATTTTGTCCACATCCATTTTGAAGTGAGGCCTCCAGAACTGCACACAGTACTCAAGGTGCGGCCTTGAGTCCGGAGAAGGCGGGGCTGCAGCTGGAAGAGGCTGGGCTTCACCCCCCCCCCGGCTTGGCATTCATCAACCAGATCCTCCTTCCTCTTCAACCTTCACGTGAAAAGGCGGACAGTCAGACAGAGCTCTTGAACTGTAAGCCAGGGTCACTTTGGGAGCCCTCCGGAGGGAGGCTGAGCCCCGGAACCAGTGCCAGAGTAAGGGTGGAGGAGGAGGAGGAGGAGGAGGGCCACTGTGTGACACAGAGTGTTGGACCGGATGGGCCACTGGCTCAATCCAACATTTGCTTCTCTTATGTTCTTATGTTCCTATGAGAGAGAAGAGGCACCTCGGTATCCTCTAGGAAGGTGGGTGTGAGCTCTTACTTCAATAGAGACTGTAGTACTGATCTCTCTCTCTCCTCTCATGGCATCTGTGCCCATAGAGTAGTGTCTGGAAAAGGTGCATAGAATCATAGAGTTGGAAGGGGCCATACAGACCATCTAGTCCAACCGCCTGCCCAATGCAGGATCAGCCTAAAGCATCTCTCACAAATATTCGTCCATTCTCTTCTTGAAAGCTGCCAGAGCACTATTTAGTAGGGCCTCTGGTCATGAGCAATTTGTGCTGGCAACCCCGTTCGTAGAACTAGAAGCTCTGCACCTTGATTCCTGTTTTACTCTGTAGGTTTTGGACTCGGTTTGTGTTTGGACTGCTCTGGCTCCTGACTTCCAGCTTTGAACCTGACCACGCCCTCGGCTTTGCTCCCTGTACTCTTACCTCTAGTAATGTTTGACTACGGCTTTGTCTGGTGTTTTGGGACTTGTTTAATGCTCTGCTGACTGCTCTCCTGGCTGACCTTTGGACTTGTATTGTGACTCCCCCTGTCTGCCTGGCTCTACCATGACATAAAGCATCTCTGACAAATATTCGTCCAGCCTCTTCTTGAAAGCTGCCAGTGAAGGGGAGCTAACCACCTCCCTAGGCAGCTGATTCCACCTTTGAATCACTCTGACGGTGAAAAAGTTTTTCCTAATATCCAGCCGATACCTTTCTGCACGTAATTTAAACTCATTGCTTCAGATCCTATCCTCTGCTGCCAACTGGAACAGCTCCTTGCCCTCCTCCAAATGACAGCCTTTCAAATATTTAAAGAGAGCAATCATGTCCTCCCTCAATCTCCTCTTCTCCAAACTAAACATTCCCAAGGCCTTCAGCCTTTCCCCGTAGGGCTCAGTCTCCAGACCCCGATCATCCTTGTCGCTCTCTTCTGCGCCCTCTCGATTTTGTCCACATCCATTTTGAAGGGAGGCCTCCAAAACTGCACACAGTACTCAAGGTGCGGCCTGACCAAGGCAGTATACAGAGGGGCTATGACCTCCTGCCATTTCGATGCTATGGCCCTTTTAATACAACCCAAGACTGAATCTGCCTTTTTTGCCACCGCATCACAACGACTGCTCATATTTAGTTTACAGTTCACCCTTACCTCAAGATCTCTTTTGCATATACTACTCCCCAGAAACGTATCCCCCATCCAGTATTTGTGCTTGACATTTTTGTGGCCTAGATGTAATACTGTGCATTTATCTTTGTTGAATTGCATCCTGTTCGCAACTGCCCACTTCTCCAGAGTATTCAGGCCTTGTTGAATTTTAACTCTGTCTTCTGTTTGCCACTCCTCCCAACTTGGTATCATCAGCAAATTTAATGAGCAGCTCTTCTACCCTTCATCCAGATAATTGATAAAAATATTGAAAAGTACTGGGTCCCAAACCAAGCCTTGCGGCACCCCACTGAACCCCTCTCTCCAATCTGATGAAACACCATTTTTTTAAATAAATATTTTTATTGGTTTTTTTCAATACCATGCTTACATCTTTACACAAATAATTCATCCAGTTTTTACATTATATAGGTATTTCCTAAACAGCAACAAGTTCGTTAAAACAACTACATTTTCTTCCTTAGTTAATCATAGATTAGAACATTTTCCCCCATACATGCATCCAATAATAATACTTTGTAATTTTCGTTATCCGCCTAACTTTCTTGAGACAGTTCACTATCTTACTTCCCACTTATTCCAACTTTGGAGCTTATCCTACTGTTTAGATTTTTATATCCTTTTAAACTTATTTTTATTCTATTTAAAATTTTTGTTTCTTTTTATTTTAAATTTTCCACTATATTCATTGTATACCTCCTGACTACTCCTGTCAGAATTGTTCTATAATATTCTTTAGTTTCATTAAACTCTAAAAGGTAACAAAGAAATATATTATCTGATATTTTAAGTTCCTTTGCAAAGAGGGCAATAAACCAAAACCAATAAATACATTTAACCAAAATCCAAATACTATATAAACATTCTACAAAGAATCATATCAGTTCCATCACCAGTCCATTAATGCTTAACCCTAACGCCTGTCTTTTGTTTTCAATTTGTTTTCAATTTATTCTAATTTAAACAGTTATATCATACACCTATAAACTATAAATAAATTCATGTAGTTTAATTTACCTTCTAAACATCATTATAATTCTCTAAATTCTATATCAATTCATTCTGATCCAAACAATCCATATATCTTTCATTTTAAACCACATAGATCAATGACTGGATAACAATTACATAATTGCTCAAATCATTCCATTTCATTTCAACACCACATAAATCAATAACAAAATCCCTAAATACTTATCCCCAAATCCTACCTGCTAATTTCAATTTATTCTAATTTAAACAATTCATATCATATACCTATGAACAAGATATCAATAAATTACTATAATTTAATTTGCCTTCTAAACATCATTATGGATCCCTAATTTCTGTATCCTAATATCAATTTGGTCAAAACAATCCATATTCTACACCTATAGTCAAAAATTTAAATCATATACTTTGGTTTGCCTTCTATACATCATTAGTTTTCCTATCTTCAACAACCTATCAACATGTTCTTTCCCTTTATACAAATGGTAATTCATGTCCGATCTTTCCTCAATATTTCTTGGCGCAATCTGTCTCCATAACATCCTGAGTCTTTGAATCTTAGACACATTTCGGTCTCG